TATATTCTCATATATTATAGATATAATAATCGGTTTCAAATTGCATATTTAAAAGTATAGTCTTGAGATAATGCCTCTACCACTCCAAAATTTTTGATAGATTAAATGGATTAGACAGATCAGATAGATTAGACAGATCAGATAAATTAAATCAGATAGATTAGATCAGATAGATTAGATAGGTCAAATAGATCAGATAGATCAGATAAATTAGACAGATCAGATAGATTAGATGGATCAGATAGATTAGATAGATTAGATTAGATAGATAGATAGATGGATGGATGGATGGATAGATAGATAGATAGATAGATGGATAGATAGATAGATAGATAGATAGATAGATAGATAGATAGATAGATAGATAGATAGATAGATAGATAGATAGAACAACATTGCATTTTCCGTCATGTGATCTATTCAGAACGAAAGAAAGAAAGAGAAGGAAACATAGTTCGGTTATTATGAAAGGAATCGATATACATAACCTTAGCAACAACATTTTTTTTCGAACCGTTTTCTTCGTCCGATTTGTTTGTTGAATGGAAGTCAGTTGAGAAAGTGCAGGCATCCCGCGGAGTATTATGTATAATGTTTCCTCATTGCATTAGTGACAGAAAACAGAAAACAAGGCGAACTGCTATCGACAGCTTCTCGTTTTTATATTTGATCAACTTCGTATCGTTTATATCACTTTGACCAGCTCATTTCGTTTATGTCATCTTGACCTTCATTTTGTTTATAGCACTTTGATCAATAGACTTTGTTTATATCACTTTGACGGATCGATTTTGTTTATATCACTTCGATTCGTGCAAACTCGTTCCACTTCTTTACATTAACTAATTATTTAATTAGGTTTGATATTTGGAGTAGAATCTCTGATCATATATGAATGGCATCTTTTTAAGTTAAATTTTTTATATTTTGCGATCTTACCTAATTAATTGTTTGATCGAATTTAGTGTCTGAAATTTAAATGAAATACTTTATTAGAAAGGGAAATGAAAGTTGCAGATAATTACGAAGTAATCATGGTCATATATTAGGTATAAGTGTAGATGCTTAGAAATTTTAAAGCAATCAGAAACATCGGTTAGATATGATTAAATAATTCGGATTAAATTTTAAATAAGATTTTAAATTAAGATTCCAAATTTCTGGAAAACTGATAAGTATAGTTGAATACGAAATCAATTTACTCGAAATTTTAATTCTTTTCACAAAAATTAATTTGACTTTTGTGTATTCAAAGATGTCAAAATTTTTCATATTTTAAATCAGTTTTTGTTGATCACTTTTACATGATTGATTTTTTTTTCTTTTACTTACAACTTTATCATCACATACTTTACATTTCATAATTGCATCCATAAATTGATTTTGAGTTTTAATTTTTTAAATCCTTAGCTTAATTCGAAGTGTAATTGTGAGTTGTGAGGGAAATTGCATGCGCCTTTTATTCGGATGTAATTAAATTCAAACTCCAAAAAAGAAAAAAAAAGCTTTGTAATCAGTAAAAAATGAGATGAAAGAGAGAAAAGAAAAAGGATGATAAGCGACTAATTTAATTTCTATTTGAACAAATTGAAACGATACGAATGTCAATTTTAATAATTAACAAATATTGTGATTTAGTTTTGGTTCTTTTTCCAATATGCGGAATAATTTTAATTTATTTATTTGATTATTTTTCTAAATCAAAAAATTATATCAAAAAAAGCATATCAAACACATCGAAAAATTTAAAAAAAAGAAAAAAAAACGCATCAAAAAATATTTCACAATAAAGTGAATAATTGATTATTTTTTTGGGCTTGTTAAAATTCATTTTAAAATGTAATTTAAAATGTAAAGAATTTTTCGGCAAAACAAAATGCTTGAAATGCTCTTAATTTTATCCTTCAGAAAATATTGAATACTATAATTACTGACGTTAGATTGTAATGTATTTATCAAAATTATTTTCCCACTTAATAGATATCATTGGAATTTCTTTTGCAGTTTTAATAAGTGTCGTTAAAATTAATTTTCAATTTAATATGGATCATTAAAATAGATTTTCAAATTTAATAAGTGTCATTAACATCAATTTTCAATTCAATACGTATATCAAAAAGAATCAAAATTATTTTTCAATTCAGTATTCGTCGTTAAAGTTAATTTTCAGATTTGATATTACTAATAAAGTTGATTTTCAATTTAACAAATATTTAAATTGATTTTGCAGTTTAATGAACTTGTTTCATTACTTCCTTAAATCATTCCTTTTTATTTTTTTCCTTTTTTTTAAAAAAAAATAAAGCAACTGTTTGGCATTATTTTCCATTTTTCATTCATCATCATTGAATGAATGGTGAGCAACTTTTTGACGGATTTTTTTTTCTTTCTTTTTTTTCAATTGACATCAGTTGACAGCGATAAATTGTCAATTTGGTAACTTAAATTTGGAAGCTAATGAGTCAGAAAGAAAACGAAAGATAAATTTTTATAAATATTGTTAAATGTGAATGAAATTTAGCGTTTTTCATTCACGTTATTCAAATTTTACACATAAAATAGTGTAATATAACAACATTCATCGAAAAATTATTGCAATAAATTGTCGAATATTTGTCGAATTTAATTATTTGTGTGTAATTATTTTTAAATTTGAAAATAAATTCCAAAATACATTTATTTTATTATTACATTTCATTTTGTTGAAATAAACTAAAATATATTTCCAGAAAAAATGAAATAAAATGAATTATTCAATAAATTGACATATATTTATGAAAAAAATAAAATTAATTATTTTAAAACAAAAAGAAAAATAATTAAAAATATAATTAATTTAAAGAAAATTGAAAACAAAATTTGAAAAACCACTAGTGGATATATATATATATATATGTATTGAATGCTAAATATTTATTGATTAATTAATTTTCAAACTTTTTCCATAAAATTTAACATTGATTGTTTTTTTTCGTTTACACTTTTCATTGCTTATTTACCATTTTAAATTATAAATAGATGTAATATTTCCTTTCTGCCTACCATTTAATCGTGAAAATAAATTGAAATTCAATAATTATTGATTGCTTCATGACATTTTATCATCAGATTGACAATGACTGGAACTGGCATGTTTTGGTTTATCGTTTATTGATGTGTCATTTTACTTGATGATTATATTCATATTTTTTTTTCACATTTAATTAATTGATTGGTTTAATTTGTTTAATTCGTCTTAATTATTGCACTATTACGAATTCCAATCTTAAATTTTAGTTTTTTTTTTCTATGCCCTTAATTGTCATCTTTTTTTCTTTACAGAACTTGAATAGCTTCTCCAATTACTTCAGATCATTACTGATAATTTGCCAGTAATTTTATTGGGGGGTAAAAGAAAACACATTTCAGGATGGAAAATGTTATTTAATAAATTTGAATTTTAAAAAAGTGAAAGAGGAAAATTATACATTTCTTATACATAACGAACTTTTTTCTCTTTTTGTTTAATCAAATAATTATTAATGCAAGTGCGACAATTCAATTTTTATAAAATTTTACTTTTTCATGCAAAAGTCGATTTTCATCAAATTTAAAAAGCTCATGGAAATGCGACATTTTCTATTGAACTTTAATTTTCCACATATAATAATGTTTGATTTTTACTAATTAAACATTTCACACTTTTTTTTTGTTAGAGATGAATTTTTTTTTTTGCAAAAATTATCAAAAATTTGCTTTTGAATTATTTAAAACTCCTAAAACAATATTTAATATAATTCGATGAATTTGTGACAGCAAAATTGTTGACGAGGAAATTGAGAAGTAAGATTTAGGGCAATTTTCCAGAAAACTATGTTGGGATAATTTAAAAAAAAAAAAAAAAAAAAACGTATTTCAAGGTAAAATTTTTTACGTAAAAGGCGTAGTTTTAAGGACAACA